TAAGGCAAGATATAGTCCAATTCTTTGCAAAACATAAAAAAGCAACAGATAAACTTTTAATCAAATGTAAGTATCTCTCTGTTGATACATTAAAACAAAAAAAAATTGAATTTACATTTGGAAAAGAAGGATTGGTGATCTTTTGGTGAATCCCCAAGTGTCTCTAGAGGATCATTATTTCTCAGTTAAGTCCTGGTCTATCGGATAAGACCTTAAACCTGAGGCCTTGTGTCACTACAGGTGTTGACATGCTAAGAGTATCTCACAGCCAAATGGCCCTGAGTGCCAAGTAAACTAGGTCGGAATTTAAAGCCTTTCACCGGCATACAGTGAAGTCTTATTCTGAAAAAAAAATCTTGCAAGGGACGTTTAACTACAATCAATTAATTTTTTCTTAATTATTCCTGGGCTATCAAAATGTGGTACCATTACATGTACATGTAATTCTGAGTTTAGCTGCTCTTTTTATCTTGTTAAACAAACTACATGTATATCTTCAATGATCTTTATTCAAATAAAGAACCAATAAAAACATTGACAGTTGAAGGTTTATACAACCTACTTATAGTATGCCAATTAAATACACATGATATATTGTATTCTCTCGCTCATTTTAAAACTTAGGGATACATATTATCAGGATAGAAAAAAATCTTTAATTTATATCAGCTGTGTAGTTAGTGTTAAGTAAAGATGAAGCTTTATATTTGTAAAGTGTATTTTGATTTTTTAAGATGACATTTAAATATATTTTTATATGGAAGTCAATCAAGAAAGAAAGAACAAGGTTCACTTAGGGCGTTTTTTGGCCCTGTGAATTTCAGAAAAACTGAAACTGCTTGGTTTTAGTTGGCAATGCATTAAATATCATTTAGATCTTTGGTGACTGCGTATCTATCAAAAATGACGTAGTTTTCTGGCTAGTCAATGCATTATGACGTCATGAAATGCGTCATTTTCCTCATATCCTGAAAAGTTCTACAAAACAGCCTATTTTTAAAGCTATTTTTCGATATTTAATATAAAGCCCAACCTCTGATCTAAAATATGCAGCTATTAAATGATAGAACTATTTCTGAGGATTACAAAACATGTTTTATTTTTTAGATCAGAGGGTGCGCTCATATTATTTCTCTTCTGTGAAAGTACTCAAATATACTTGTTTTCCTTAAAATTCAAGAACATTGCAATTCCATGACGCCTATTTTCTAAGACCTTTTTCTTTAAGGAGAAAATTTTTAAAAGGAAACGAAAGCACTAAGTCTCTACTTTATCTTGATGTTTAAAATGGACATAAATTGTTAGTGAATAAATCGGTATATCTAAAGGGCCATTATATGCATAAAGTGAACCTAGCTCTTTGAGCTGACAATTAGGTGCCTCTGCTCGGTGATATAAAGCACTATTCAAAGTGGCTTTAAGAACTACGCACGCTAACTCTCGATTCCCGCCTACATTTTACACCCATTTAATTCAATATTTGTGCCAATTTGGCCATAAAATCTTTGTTTAATGCAAAGAAGAGTTCAATGGTGATTGATTAATAATTTTGATACCAGTGTTAAATTGTTAATTACTCTTAATTCCAGCTCTTTTTATAAGGGGGATAGACGATATTTTTCATTGAAATCGGGCTTGAAAGCATCAGCTTATTTTAAAATATTCTTTGATATGGATAATTGTTCCTGAAAACTTTTCCTATGTTTAATGCAATTAAAATTAATCATATGTAATCAATAAAATACAACGTTTAAGTTGTAAATCCCTTCTAAATTTGTGAAAAAATGAGCATTTTTTTTACTATAAACATATCTCCCCCCCCCCCCCCCCCGTGAAACACAAAAAGCTTTGGTATGAATTTGTGAAATAACAATCCATATTAACTATAAAAAGGAATTTTTGTTTCACGGAGGGAAAGTTGTTTCAAAATTATTTTCCGTATTCCGTTGATTTCTATAGTGAAAAACACAAGTTTTGCCAAAAATATAGAGTTATCTTTCTTGGTTTTCCCATATAAGTAAGTTTTATGAAAATTCATATAAATATCAATATACATGTGAAAAATCATTCAAATATGTTAACTTTTGAAAATTAACTTGGAGGTAGGCGGGAGAACAATACTATCGTTCGCAGTTCTTTATACACAAAGGCTTTAGGAAAACTATGCAAACCTATATTTATTAAGAAACGGTCAAAAGTCAGTTTTGCTATGTATGTGAAATATCAAATTTACAAGAATGCACATCCTACAGAGAGAAAGGAATTCATAAACCTTTACCTTACTCCTTTCCGACGCTGAATTTACCCATGCTATAAATATATTCATTGCAGAAAGTTGTTTGGGGACATATATGACGCTTTGGTCGGTATTTTTCTTGTAAAATAACATATTTCTGAAGAAAAAATGGTGTTAGAAGAATTATGTTAATTAGATCCATAGAAACTTGAAGAAATTCAGCGTGAATAAGGTTTGGACGATACAGGGCCATTTCGACATAATTTAAAATTTAAAACTGATTTGTTTATAGCTTTTGCCCTAATGTTGTACCTTAATGCTGCACGTAAATTCTTAAGATCTGTTTACAGAGACAAGACTGACTGTAAACCTTATCAAATCATGTTGTTTTCGACTTTGGTCAGATCATGCATTTTACCGACACTGACTAAAAGGGAGAAAATATGAAAGAAAAAAATCATTGTGTAGAATCATAGTCACTGAGAAAAAGATAAAAAGTATTATACTTAGAGGTCTTCACTTCTGATTTTGAAACATCCGGTATGAAATATGAGATATGTGACTGCAGTTACACATGTCACGGGATGAAAGTGCACCATTCAGGCGATGGAATGGTAACTGAATGCCTACTGAAAGGTTACTGAAAAGTCACTGACAGGAGTCTGTAATTGAATTTTCCGTGATTTTTCCATTGCCATCCAGCCTAGCTACTCAATGGCAGGTGCATCTCTGTGGCATTTCAGTAGTCTTTCCGTTGTACCTTTTTATTTAAAAATCTGCGCATGCTGATTTCTTAACTTATTTTATTTCACTTTTCATTATTATAATGGTATTAAATTAATCAATTTTTATTGAAGAAAAGTGAACCTGAAAAAAATGCGTGAGAATCCAAGGGTCGATGTGAACATATCATATAAACATCTTGTATAGTCTATGTTCATTGTGCATATTTTGGAGGACCGACTAATTATTACACGCCTCTTATCGGGATATTGACAATTATCGTCTACGGGCCCCCGCTTTCTTTTAAAGAAATGATTCGAAATAAATCTGCACCTTAGAGAATGTTGAAAATTCTACTTCTAGAAAATAATTAATTTAAAATGATTTTTAATCATAAACATCATTTGATTTCAACTATTAAGAAACAAGAAATTAAGATTACAGTATATAATAACTTCTACAAGAAGCATAAATAGTTAACTTTGTCTCTGATTCCACTCCAGGAAAACTAACTGCATTAGATGGAAATAAGAATAATATAGGGAATATACATGTAATTAGAGCTGGAAAATATATATATATATATAAAAATAGCATTTTCTTCATTAAAAGCATTTTCAACAATATCCTCGAATTTTTTCACGATTGACAAATTTTTTATTCATTTAACAACTGAATTGAAAAATGGATATTTATCACAAATTTAGCGATTTTACAGAAAGGAAAAAAACCGAGTTCTTTGACAATTTATTAAATGCTGATACGAATAATGTATCATTATGTTTAATCATTGAAATATTTTTTTTATTATTCTAAATCTAGTTTTGTGCAATGAATTAGAAATTCTAAAATAATTTTGATTTTTATGAGCCGACAATTGAATTGTAATATTTAACATGTTTTTATTTATATTTAACATACATTTTGTAGTCTATAATAACAAATTACAATTTTAACAAAAAATTAAACTTAAACACACTGTACAAAATTTGGATAAAATCGGTCTACTTATTCTTGAGAAGAGATGGAAAATGTGAAAAATAAACAGACAAAACAAATACTGACAGATGCTGATAAGAATTGATCACTTCAGCTTTGGATCAAAAGAACTAAAAGACATATTGAAAAACAAATTATGAAACACAAAAATCATCAGTATAATTATTCAAAGACGACATTATGTCGAAAACTAACAATATTCAAACTATATCCGGAAATAATTAAAATACAAAACAGATAAAAGTTTCTTCTTTTTTTTTTACCTTAGTGTCTTGGATTTTTTCACTTAAGATGTCTGTTATAAGATCATAAAATTGGTAGTCTTTTGGGTACAATGATTTCTTTTCCCTTATTTTTCTATTTTTTTAATGTTCCTTTATAAACTTTATTTAAAAAAAATAAAAAAAAATAGATTAAATACTATATATATATATATATATATATATATATATATATATATATATATATATATATATATATATATATATATATATATATATATATATATATATATATATATATTTCTACCATGTTTTAGGTACATACAGAAAGAAAGAAAATAGGTAGTTTTTATTATGACATTTTAAAGGGTTTTTTTTTTCTTTCTTTTTTTTTTTTACTTATTTGTATTCTATTTTCAAAAATTAAAAAAAAAAAATTACATTTTCTATAGCTATTTATGAGCTGAATCATATATAATATAAAGAAGTTCTCGAGAGCTGAATGAGCTGAATTGTTAATGTAAAAACTTTAATATATATATATATATATATATATATATATATATATATATATATATATATATATATATATATATATATATATATATATATATATATATATATATATATATATCAAGGAATTGGTCAATTTCTAACATTGTAACATAATAAAAGTCACTGTAAGCTGTTATATCATACTACTTAATGCAAAAGATAGTTACAAAGTTACATACAGATAGTTACTAAAGGAAAATTTAAGCCACTAAAACACAGTTCAATAAATCTTATCACAGATATATTTCCATTTGCAGCAGTGTAATTTAACTAGAGGTGTTGGCATAGATGTTTTCTGTTTCCAAGTATGCACAAACAGCTTTGTAACAAAACTCGTATTCTTCCTGTATAAATAGAAAACAGTTGTATTCTTAACACTGTCAATATGTACACCTGCAATGCTAAGTTAACATCTTTCAGTTCCATTATTTACAAATCCATCTGCCCTTCTCTGTCTTTTGTTCATTTACCGGTTTTAATGTAAACGATAACGAAATTGCGCCTCAAAAGGCAGATATGCTTAAAACAATCCAGGTTTATCTCTCATTCCTTGACAAAACATGTCATTAGCATGAGTATCGAAGAAATTAAATATTTATAACAAATTGAAACGTATTAAAATACTGACTTTGTTAGAAATCATCTCCGGTCTCCTACACTGTAGCTGCTGAACTATAGTAAATATGTCCACCTCATCATCCTGTTGTAGCTGTTCTATGGCGTTATATACAGCACAAAATACTCCACAGCAGGTCGCTCCATCCCTTAATACATGTACATGAAAAAAGAAATAATCTACATGATCTGGACCGATTTTTTCAAATATTGATTAAGGGATAATACACATTTCACCATAAATTCTATTTCTTTATTGCTTGTGATCGTTATAAAAACCATTACCGATAACAAAATACTATGGGTTTTTAAATAATGCCTATTGATTGAATAAATGAATTATTTCTTATATGACTAAATCACAGACTCGAACGGTCACAGAACTTAAGAACTTGAAATATTATATCTGTAGTACAATAATGATTAGACAGAGTGTTTTTGTTATTATCAATTAATTAAATTAAAACCTATGAAGCACGACTTCTTTATGCATACGTTCACCTCAACCTTTTCAAACTTAGAAAATCAACAAAGCCCATCCAAAAATGGCAGATCATTAATTATAATCTATGACTTAGGCATTTGCTTATTTGGTAACGGGGGATAGGTAACCTTCTGCTACAGGTAAGTTTTTGTTTTCTGAACAATTTAAACATAGTACGTCTCTGTCTCAAAATAGCTACATGGTAACAATTGTCAGGACAGATTTGAATTTCTGGGATGTTGAGTCCAAAATAGATGTTAAAATTTGGTTCCTAAATAACGCCCGGAAGATGAATTGTTAGAAGTATAGGCTCTGGACTACCGCAGTGCCACTGTATGAAGAAAATAAGTAAAATAAGTACCGTGATAAAATGGTAATTTGACCCTCTGGATTCGACCTCCTGTCTAAGCAAAACTGTTTGATTAATTCTATGAGAGTTGAACATTTCTCTGGTATGAAATCTGCCGTATTCCAATCAAGACACTCAAAAATTTGGATAGTGTGACTTCCTTTTTCCTAATTTGGAAAAAAAATATTTACAAAGTACATTAATTTTAATATTCCATATTGTTTCAGTTGTAACTCGAAAAAATAAGCAAAAGCAAAATTTCAAGCCTTTGAAGTATAACCTTAAATGAGGAATTTAAGTTTTTTCACTAGACGTAATGTTGAGACAGTCGGGTCAAAGTTTGTAACACTGCATGCAATTCACCAGCTGATAATAATGTCATAATCTTTATAGAAAGGAAAGTTCGGTAATTTTAGAAAACGTTCACTTATACATGAAATCAGAAATTGTAAGTTAATCACTAACTGTTTGAGAAATGCTTTTCAAGCTCTATTTAATGTGTAGAAAGTTTATCGCTGTCGAAAATACGAGTTTAATTACTTTGTCCATACTGTTTATTTTAATTGTGTTGGTTAATTGATTTATTTCCAAGATCATTGAATGTTTATCACTTTATTTATAAGATTAGACTCAGTTATATATTTTGTTTATAAACAGACATTTTTCACATGTTGTTTACTAGCTTTTCAAATTTTGCTTAAGGAGAAAGGAGAGACAGATACATTGTAAGTAAAAGCATAATGACATACAATTAAGAAGAACATTATATTTCCATCACTTCTAGTCACTTGCCTGCTTTCTTTGAACTTTTATTATGGTTTTTCGCACTTCTTCTGTAAATCTTTTTTGATCAACTTTTGTAATTCCGAATGGTCCAATGGTTATATGTTTTTCCTTGTCATTGAACCAGTGATTGACCTATAGTAATGAAAAAAATGATAAATACTTCAAAAGAGCAAATGATACTTAATAAAATGAGCAAGATTATTATTGCATAATAGTTTGAAAATTAAAGGGTTTTTTCTTTGGAATACCTCATTGATATCCTCAATAGGATTCAAGGAAATTAAAAACGGACATGCTTGTTCAGTCAAGAGAAGAAGAAGGTCAACTCCAGCTCCAGGCACCGGATGTTGCGCAGAAATAAACTCCTCTGCACTAGTAAATGACTAAACAAAAATGTAGCCAAAAATAGATTCGCCTTCGGGATACAAACTGAATACAGTTGAAAAATAGCATTTATGATACAAACCGACAATGTAACTGCATTGTAGTAGGGTTCCCTCCCTCTCAATGATGAAGACAAATAAACGAGATAGCGTTCGACTAAAAAGTAAATTGGTCATTTTGCAATTGATAGCATTACACAGATATAAAATCATAATAATCAGAAAAACACTTTAAGAGAAAGTAAATTAACACAAGTTAAGTTCAAAAAATCTGATGAAGCTCATATTCTTTTGTTTTACTTCTCACCCTCAGCATGCTATATGAAGATATAAGGTGACATCATAATTTTTTCAATCATACTTCGAAAAATACGACCCTGTTAAGATCGTGGCTCTACTTGATTATACTTAGGTTTAAAGAAAAGAGGAAAGTAGCAGGATCTTAAATGATATTTCTAAGGGATAATATACAGTATTTTGATGTTTTCAACCATGTACCATGTTTTATATATATCAAATTAAAACGTTGCTAGATTTTTTGAAAAAAAAAATAAATTTATACTTAATAGTATGGCAACTCCAATTAGTTTATTGTATATTATTGTACTATATTTGAATTAGCTTACTTAAGTATCAAAGTTTTAATTTAGTATATCAATATTTTATTTACTATATCAATATACTATGATTTCAAATTGCTTTATTTGAATATCCCATCGTGTAATTTTCTAATATTAAAAAAAATATTACTTGTCTATAGTATATCCAACAGTAACACCATAGATATGTATTGAAGAAATGAAAAAAAAAGTTATAAATCTTTTTAAAAATGTTCTAGAGCAGAATTTCACAGAAAATCAAGGTATCAATGCATAGTATTAACAATAGTTAACTATAGTAAACAAAAGTAATTTTGATGGATATGACCCTTTACATACCTATAAGTGGAAATTTTAGCGAGACGCAAATTTAGCGATTTATAAAAAAAAATCGATATATAATATATATATATATATATATATATATATATATATATATATATATATATATATATATATATATATATATATATATATATATATATATATATATATATATATATATATATCGATTTTTTTTATGAATCGCTGAATTTGCGTCTCGCTAAAATTTCCACTTACAGGTATGTAAAGTTTTTCTGTAAAGCTTTTAATGCATAATAAAATCGGTAAAATTATTTCTTATATATATATATATATATATATATATATATATATATATATATATATATATATATATATATATATATATATATATATATATATAGATATATATAGATATAGATAGATAGATAGATAGATAGATAGATAGATATATATATATATATATATATATAGCAAGAAATAATTTTACCGATTTTATTATGCAAAGAGAGAAGGCTTTAACAATCGATATGGATTAAAATGTTAGCGATATCTAAATTTAGCGATATCAGAACCTTCGCTAATAATGCAAAAATTAAATCCTCGCAAAAATTTTTGCTTTTACGGTATTCACCTTGTGTACCTTTTTTTCAAAATCAGTCAAAGGTTTAGAATAACGCACATTACAATATACCACCGCATTTTTTTTTTTTTTTTTTTTTTATCAAAATCGAAAACTGATATACAATTTTGTTGTCTTTTATGAAGTATACTTTTGTAATCATTTTACAGACAAAAAAAGGAAGACTGTCATGAGTAAAGATAAAATTTAGAAAAATTCATGACAATATATATAATCAAAATCAGAAAATGATATCCAATAGACTAGTTGTTTTAAACCTTTTTTTGTCTTGGAATCAAACTAAAACTGGGAGGATAAGCTATCTAAAAATGTTAACAATTACAGTGCTTGAGTGACAGGAAAACAAGCAGACAGGAGATTGAGACTACACAATCGCATAACTTCGATCTTTAGATGTAATTATACGCTATCCAAAAAAATTGAGCTCTACTTATCTAAAAATTTGAAATGAATGTAAAACAGGAGCCACATGTATTACCGGGCAAAACCGTTTTTACAGCGTTCATATTCAAATATTTCTTCCCACTTCTATAGTCACTTGCGTCATATTTTGGTTTCAGCTTAGTTAAATCCTTAAAAAAAGAGAAAGATGGAGTAATTTTTTCAGGATTTTCATAAACACTAAAAAATTATTTATTTTATTTTATAAAATAAAGAAAATCATGGAATAAATATGAAAAAAAAAAATATTTTTAAAAAACGTACGTTGAATTCATCAGTTATTTGTTTTCTTGTCTCTCGTTTATCAGTCTGCGAAAATATCCTTGTGAAATCATGTCGCTTAATAAACACACTTTTCCTTCTGAATGTCTCGTAGAGTGCATGATACAGAAAAATATACTGATCCTGCAAATAAATAAATCAAACTTGACAACAATTAAATATATTTGCCTTCGTGTATGAAATGTTCGAAGTGAATTATGGCAAATCAAACTCACGATGTTTTGAATCATGGACATTCTGTTTTTCCTCATCGCCCTGACAAATTCTATGACATTAAACTTTCCCGTCTTTCTTCCGTACTTTTCCAATGCATCGAGAGCAATTAAGGTACCCGTTCGACCGATTCCCGCACTTTCATTTGCAAACATAATAAAACATTAATGATTCTACATTAAATATCTCATGGACAGTGCTAGGTTAGTTGCATCTTGACTAATATCTTCAAAGCTTTTAGACATGTTTTGATGATTATTAGAAAAAATCTTTCTTAAAGAGTAGATAGTGCCAAGGATTTGTTTCTTTTACATAATAAAAATTTCAGAAAAAAACAATAATAATTATTAATGATGCAACATTGTTTTTTTTTTTTTGTTTAATAATGAATTATCAACACCAATTTAAAGTGAGGTAAGGTTATCAAAATAAGTAAATTGTTAATTTTCAAATCACCTGTACATCAGCTGTTAAAAAAAAAACATGTCATCAAATCATTGAATCATTTTATTGCATTCAGGAAAGTGCAAAGAAGTTGAATATTATTCTTACGTAGTACATACAGATTTCACGTTTATATTTAACTTATAGATAGTAAATTTGAACACAAACTGTTTTAAGTCTAGCCAAATGTATTAATATTGTTTTGCATTCAAGTTGTTGAGTTTGGAAATGTACTCAAATATTTTGAAAATTTTCACAAATCCGTGTGACGATAGAACCCATGTGTAACCTATTTCTGATGAGAATTAGCGGATGCCAACTGTATAATGTAACTAATATTTGTAAACTAATTGATGAAAAAATGATTAAAAGGGATTTTCGGAATCTCTTAACATATATACCTGCAATGCACAAGGACAGGGCTATTTGAGATGAATGAATTATGTTTAAAATGTTCATGGAAATTAGTGAGGTTCAAAGGATTGGGAGTCCCATGGTCAGGCCATCTTGTATAATGAAACTGAACAACTGTCCGTGGCTTTGTTACCTAAAATTAAATGGATAAAGTCTAATTTAGTAGAATATAGCTTTAAACATTATTGCAGATTTTATTTGTTAAAAGATACTGTAAATGTATATTATTTTGCGTGTACTATATATGGCAGAACCTGTTTTTTAGCATGTTAGAATAGCTTTGATTTAACGCTTCCTGGATGTGCTTTATATGAATATAAATACACAAAGCATTTAACGATGTACTTGATATAGCGGAAGGTGTTTTCCGCAAAAGGCGTTAAACAGAATACATAGCCAAATGTTTACGTTAGGCATTAATTTTTTATCTCATTTGTCATTTATCCCAAATTTCAGTTTCAGTTAGAAACTTACATGTGTAACATCATTAAGTCTACGCAGGTGAGTTAAGGCTGGGTATAGGTATGTCTATGCAAATAATCTAATTAAAATGCCTAAGGACTATATCTATTATACAGAGAAAGTTAAAACTTATTGTCAAATGCATACTTGGTACCCACGTCATGAGATAGCCAGTACACATTATGACGTCATATTATGACGTCATTGTTCTTTACTACACATGATTATAATGGATATCAACAAAAATGTTTCGGCTCAAGGGCATGCTCTATTTTATACAATCTATACAAGGTATATTTAGAAGCAAAATATTCCAAAGTTTGCTGCTATTGCTGCACAAATATCAACAGCTCAGTTGTATAATTTTTATTTGTAAAGTTTTAAGTTGAATAAGGGTAAAAATGTACAGTCCGGTATAAGTTTCCTCAAATTCCGATCAAACGAGAAAATGCCTAGGATTTGTGCAGCAGTTTTATTAATCTATAGAATATTCTTCCTAGTATTATACAATTTTTATTTTAAAAAAAAATTAGGGTAATCCCTTGCTTCGAAGCTGTTTTATTGATGTGTTTCATTACCTCCAGTAAGTAAGATCAGTGACGTCATAATGTGTACTGGCTATAACATGTCGTGGGTACTAAGTATGCATAAGAAAATAAATCAACACTTTCTCTGGATTATAAATATACCTCTTATGCATTTTTATTAGCTCATTTGCATAGAAATGCTTATACCTAGCCTTAACTCACACGTGTAATAAAATAAGGTAGTCGAACAATTAAACTATAAATGACTTTAAATCTGTATTTCAAGAAGTGTGTTTTATAGGTACCTCTCTTTTTTTTAATGTCATTGTTCTTTTGATAAAATTGGTGTATTGTTTTTCTTCTGTCAAATGTATTGTAAATGGTCCAATCTCTAATTTGTCATTTTCATCTGGCCAGTATTGGTGACACTTAACCTATAGAATAAACAATTATTGAGAGAAGACCTTAACAATATGTATGTATTCCATTTTCAATACTGGGTAATTACATCGTTTCTCAAAAAGACTAAACGAATGATGACGACCTTAATCATAATATATATTATATTCATATGATGTATTATGTATCACAGTTTTTAAATATTATATTCAGTGAACGATGAAATAGGACAACTGAAGAATACAAATAACCCCTACCCTTGAAAATGGATGACAATAACATTCTTCCTATAATGAATTGTTACATGATGACGATTACAATCATGAAAATACATCTTATACATTTTATATCCATAAAATGTTACTATTAACTGTTTTCTTTTTAATTATTATACAACACATAAGGATTTTCTAAGTCACCCTTACTACGTAAATTTACGTTCAACTTGACGCCGAGTTTTAAAGAACAGAATGATGAACAATTCGATGCCGAAGTAAAATTAGAAGAATTTCCAGCAATTCTTCTTTTATATTAAAAAATACTTTTGAGTATTGGCACTCGCTCATATACAGATATATACATACGCAAACAAAATAGATTTATGAATTGAATTTAATGAATCTACAAACGCGTTTTACTCCACGTATTTATTATGCTTGAAAAGCATGTACAGTGTTGTTCATATTTTCAAGGTAATTATACTTGAAACACTCTTTATTCGCTTTTTGTTCCACTTTTACTAATATTTTATTCATGAAGATCTATTAAACTGTAGGGTTGCATATTTTCCCATCCGTTGGTGAAGTTATTACTTACATTTTTTAAAGTGAAATATGTGGAGATAAAGAACAGTATTCAAGCTCAAAAGTCCATTAAACATTACAAACATTGCAAAATAGGAGCAGATCAAACGCGGACCTCTAAGACATCAGAGGTGGGATCAGGTGCCATGGAGGAATGAGCATCCCCTGCCGACCGGTCACACCGGCCGTGTGCTCCTTGTCATGATCGAAAAATAACCGAAAAATCCGTCGACGATTCAGTGTGTAAATAATGGCCTAACAATTGGAATGAAAAAGTCAGTCAGCATTTGACTTAATGATAGATTGTATTTGCTAACAAGGTCATTCTATCGCCTATAGAACTTACGAAATGATGACTTTAAACGAGAATGCTCATATTCTTGTTTCATCAACTTGTTTGTCAATATTTACCTCGTTTTAGAAATTGTTCATACGTAGAGCATGCTCTAGCGTATTGAATCAACTGAGAGATATGAACCTCGTATGCAGGTGATAAGAGTATATTGCTGCCTAAGTAAGGGAAGTTGACGATTGAAAAATTAAAGTCATCAGGTTCATCATAAAGCTTTGCTGTTAGATTACCATTAACGTCTTTTTCTAATAACATATAGGCCTTTCTTTTTCCAGTACAGATATATGAACATAAAGTTAGTCTTACTAAAAGAATAAGTGATAATGGATAGGTAGTTCTTATCAGTACGTCATCAATGATAAATTTCACAGACGAGTTACTTTGTCCTTTTTCAGATAATGATAAAATGATTAAATGAAGTATAATGTTCCAAGATTGACAGCAAATAGTATTTTATGATTTTATTTGCCTGTTGAACACAAGTGCTGATGGTATTTCCGGTCTTCCTTCTCAGTTACAACAGAAAGCATAGCTTATATTGTAGAGTATAAAAATTCAAGAAAGACTGAAAATTAATTCAAAATAATGTAAGGTGTAACTGTTTAAAAATTAGATAATGTTGTAAGCTTTTGACTTTATGATTATAAATTATATAACGGAATTGCATTTGTGCCTGTGATAATAATTAAGAGCAAGTATAGAAGCGGCTGCGGCACTGAAAAAATGAAGAATAAAGCAAAAAAAAAAAAAAAAAAAAAAAAAAAATACAAACAAATTTGTTTTAAACAAACAAGAAATCAAGAATAGGTAAAATAAACCAATATAATCGAAATGTTCCATTACCTTGCGACCCTCTATAAGGCTTGTTAACATTACGATGTAATTCACTTTTTCTTGCCAAATCATCCTCCAATGGTCAACCAAAGTGTTTTCTTTCGGTCCTAATAGTATAAAATTATATTCTATACAGTTACATGTACTTGATACATAATACTTTACAAAGTTTGTCGAGTCAAAATACACCTAAAAAAACTGACAAAAAAAAGAATTAAATAAAAAAAAAAAACGTTGATTCATCTTCATTCTTAAATAAACTTGATCTACCATATATATTAGAATCCATTATTGTAAAGTCAAAAAAAGAAATGTATTATTCGATTACTTTGGTGTAAACGTTGATTTAAAGCTAAAATTGAAATAAAAACACATAAATATACTACAGAAAGGCAATTGTGGAAAAAAAATGAATTATATTCAGAAGACACATGTGGCGAAATCCTGTATCTTTCATTATAATTTTTTCATCTTTTCTCCTCAATATTGTATACTATGTAAATAAAAGTCTTCATATACTCTAACCTTGAGACGCAATATATGCCCTTGTACCTTCCATATTCTGAAACAAACAATATCTTTAATCCTCACGAGAAATTTGGGATTTCAGAAAAAAAGAATAATTGTTGCAGGAAAACACACTATCCGTCTAATACCATTTCAATTACTCTAAGGCAATTCTATCCATTCTTATTTTCCCTCTTCGAAACGCTAGTACTTTGCTATTAGAAAATTACCTCTATATAATTTGCATTTATGTAATCGGAACTGAATTCGTCATCAATCTGTAGCACAACTCGCGAGTGATTATCTAATTAAAGAAAAAAAACATATAATTATATATTCCAAAATACATATCGATCTTTTTGATATGTTCTCAGCAATTCTGTCCGCCAGAAACAGTAAAATTAGTTTTTTTTTTTTTTTTTTTCAAAACTTGTATATTACTATTATGCATTTAAAATATAAAATTATATAACTTTACTTTCTTTACCTAATAGACTCTATTTATGAATTACTGTTTTTGCTCATTATAAATACTACGGACATCTTTATTAATAATTATCATATAATTATTGACAACAATCAGATTTATATGATATGTTATTTATTTATTTATATGATATATTATTTATTTATTTTTTTGTCTACACGATACATACATGGAAAAGTTGTTTTAAATCTGTTTTTTGGAATATTTTCTTCCAATTTCGCTGTGTTACAGTCAAACCTCTCCCCATATGGTAGTTCCTTGAATAAAATTTCACGTTTGATTAGTTTGTGAAAAGCAATTCCTAAACTAGTATCCATATATTTTTTTCTATATTTTTGTTTTCAGTATTGAACAGCCTAGTTTCAATAATTTACAGTTTTCATTTAAGATAGTATGGAATACCTCAATGTTATGACATGTTTCCGTTTGAAGTATTATTTTGCCTTGATTGAGCGCTTATTATCGCATCAAAATGTGTAGAAATACAGTTTAAAGAACACCCTGAAGCTATCTTAATACAAGCTTTCACAAGTTGACACTTTATTTAAAATAGACAAAAAATTTGCTATAAACATTTAAAAAGCAAATCCTTTTAAAAAGTAGTCTAAACAGCGCTTTTTTGAACAATTTTAGGCGAAAAATGTATTTCGATTATTTGAAGTACAACTCTTTTGTGCAGTGAGGCATGAATAAGTATGATTACTTAAAATTATTCTGAATTATTACCAATCACATTATCATGTGGAACAAAATTGGTCTTTTATTAAAAGGCACTTCATTCAAGAAGTAACTGTTTGGTCACAAGAGAATAAATTGATCTTTTAGATAAGTTGTCTACGTTTAATATACGTTTGAATACCGATTTACACAAAAGTTTAAGTAGATACAATACCAGATGAAAGTTATATTGCATGTACAGCAGACTAATCAAAGTTATTTATATAATAAGTGATTTTTTTTAATTGTTTTCAGTAGTGATAATGAAGAGTGAAAAATTTAGCTATCAAAATTTAAGCGGCTTACTAAAAAATCGCTAAAATAAGCCAAAGTTAGCACCCCGCTAAAAATACCCGCTATACGGTATATCGTTCAATTTGTATATTTCACTTTGTTTTGTGTTTCAAATGAGCATAGTTAAAAAAAGTATAGGTACATGCAGAAGCTTGTCACGGGTAAGATTAGTGGCAAAACAACAATGAGAAATATTTCCAACGGGGAAATAATAAAATTTAATGAGGAACAAAGAGATTGATGAATAATGTTTTGAAGCTTTCGTACTGAGGGCAACGTAAGCAGAGTTTTCAAATGCCTTAGAGTTGTTTTAAACATGCATACGCAGCCATTTCAATAGTGATTTTATTTCATTAGTGGTGCAACATGTCTTTCAAAACAAGACCTGATTCAGAAAGACAATTTTCCGATTAGATTTTTTTTTATTCTTTATCAATCACACGTTTAGTAAAATAAAATAAATTGTCAAGTTTTGGAGGATTACAGTGGAATATAAAAGCCTAATGGTGTTTTAGAGCTTATTCCTTGGTATAATTATTGACAGTCTTCTGGGGATACTAGTACATGGGCGTAGTGTGTAATACCTTAAATTCCTTGGTAAAACCAGCATTCTCTTTTTGTTCTTTGTCTTCAATGACCAACAACAAATCTTTAACGTCTATATCTTTGGCTGCAGATAAATTGTTGTAGTAGACAGCTTCTGCAGGGTCCTCTCTTATTGGCTCTTCTTCCGGGTCTTCTATTATAACGGAAAAGGGTATCGGGTTTTGTTGTTCCAAGGTTACACCTTCAAAAAAGCAAGTCATTATTTTATTGTAAAATTGAAATATTGACAGAGAAGTAAAATACGTCTGTTTCTTTTTAGTGAAAAGTATAAGAAAATACCCGATTAAACAATTTAAACAAGTATCTTGATATTCTAACAGAAATGCATATAACATAACAAAAAACATAGAAATACTATTTTAACTTGTATCTGATTCATTAATATTAATTTAATCTTTAATAAAAAAAAAAATAAAATGTATTCTTTTATACGGTCTTAATATTGATGAGAAATCACATTAAGTATATTACTGCAATACCATTCAATAATATTGATATAGTAACAATTTCTATAGTAATTTCAGTTATTTTACATGAAACTACAATTATCGGAAAAGAACCTCTTTATATGCCTCTATAAATATAAACTTTTTCTTTTCATTTTCTTCTGATATCTTTTTATAGTTAATTGGAAAAAGGGATTTTGATATCCTTATGAATATTTTCTGTACTGTATCGTATGCGTAGAAAAAAAGATAAACCTTCATGCTGATGTTGATAATTTTTTCTTCCAATATGTCTCTTCCTGGAAATGTATAAAGTCTAATAATTATTAAGAAACAATTTCTCTTTATTTCTAGAGTCCCTATATAAGCTTTCATTTGGGCACAGTTCAATCTAAAATGCTTTTCAGTTTTAGCAGCATAGACGTATCATATATTCTAACTGTGAATACTCGGTAGAGTCAAAACTTCTAAATATTTCAGTCATTTCAAGAGAAAAGAATCACCAAAGAAATGTGCAAATGATATCATTGCAATGCAAACAAACACATATTACATAAATGAAATAGAATACATACAAATCCAATGCAAGATAATCAGCTTACATGTCTACATGTATCCAAGTAGCAACAGCAAGAAAGAAATCGGATAATAACAAATACCCCATAGCTGATATCAGAATTTGAAAAACTCATATGGAATACAGCTATTTACGAGTCGTGTTCAACTATAAGGAATGATACTTAGAGAAGCTAAAAACGGCATTGTTGATGCTCTACTAAAATATTTTTTTAGAATTTTTTAAGACTTAGTTCTTCATACCTGATGTAAACAATAGAAACGATTGCTATAGCAAGCAGAAGCAAAATTCCAACTACTGCCCCAATATATGGAATAGTAGATCCTTTTGTGTCATCTTTTAAGTTGTCTATTTCTGCAAAAAAAGCATCACATACGAAATGAAACGTGGAACTTCTAGAATTACATGTATGACAAGAACAATAAATAGAACACTGATCCTTGGTTTGGTCTCTTTTTGTGAAACGTTAAAGTGCAATTGATCTATAGCTGTTAGAGGAATAGTCTTCTGAAAGAGTTTCTAAGAACTTTTATTTGTTTAGTAACCATAGCAACACAGTTTACTGAAACCAAAAACCAAATAAATATAACCAAGTATCTAAGAGTAATTTGCTTTACTTGCATATCAGGTTCTATTGAAATCGAACAAAAATTGTATGGAGAGTAGCATGTTAAAAGAAATTCAAAGAAATTTCAATTTTTTTTAACCATGGCAAATTCCACTTGTAAAGATCAAAAAGCAATATACAAAATTATATATCTGAGTGTTATTAACTTATGTAGAGTCCTATTGAAAGCAGACCAAAACGTTAGAAGGAGAAGCGCTTTAAAACAACTCTAGAGGAATTTATATATTTTGTAACTATGTCAACACCATTCGTCCAAATCAAACCAGATTCTAAGAATATATGTCATACCGGGGTCTACTTGTGTACCAAGTTATAATGACTTTGGACGAACCTTGTAGGAGGTGAAGCATTTTACAAACAAACTGAAGGATACGATTTACTACTTTATATTGAAAATAATCTTACAAAATATGAAAATGTACTGTACTTGCAAATCCTTATGAAAAGCCATGCAATGAAATGTGATGGTTTGAAAGGCTTACACATCTCGAAGGCACGTTGCCAGTGAATACTTCATCAAGGGAAAGAGTTAGTATCGAGTTTCTTCACAGAAAATTTAGGATGCAAAATTTCATTATTGTGTTTAATAGAAATAAAGTACAGGTAATGTATAAACAAATTAACTTACCAGATAAACACAGATTTCCTGAATATCCAGGGTTGCATCCCGCCACACAGGTCCCGTTTTCTGGATGACAGAGCCCAGATTCAGCACAGCCACTGCTGCACAGCGATACACAATTTAATCCATAGTATCTTGGTAAACAGCCTGGAAAAACAAGTTTATGATAATTAAACATTTATGAATAATTTATTTTTGGTTGTAATGCGTTTTTGATGGGATAAAAATAAACTGTTTATATAGTATAACCTGTGTTGCCTACGTCACAATCACACGCCAAAAACGTATCAATCTGTTCGACGTTACATTTGAAATACTTAAAATTTGTAGGCATTTTTGAAGGAGAAATTATCTTATTTTCTACTCTTAATGATGGAAAAATAAATGATCAGTTTTTATAAACCGCTTAGCTGCTTCTAAAGCCTAAACTGCCCCAACCCAGGTTTTACAGTATAACCTGGGTAGCTATTAAATTCATTCCTTAGATAATGATCTTTCATTGTTATTTGAATTTGGCACTTATCTTTAAAATAGAATGTTCGTTTGTTGTATTTTTGCATGCACTGCATTTTTAGTGTCAGTCGCCTTATTTTCGACCTGTCGAAGAAATTTCCAAAGAAAATAAATAACCACCATCTACTCCACTTCTTTCCATTTTGTACAATTTTCGTATGATCTATTCCTTGTATGATTCAATCAATGCGGACCGAATGTACAATTGTGGGTGGGTTGAATATGTAACGTTTTGTACTGAATGCCAGATCTTATCTATACTATTGAAATATGATCTTATAGCGTAACACATTTTCCGTGTGTTTTGTATAGCTGTCAGAAAATTGTGTCAATTTTTGTATGTTTTGATGTCTTATTTTTCTTTGTGTATAATTGCTTTGTCATTTATTTTCTAAATAAATGAACTTTTCTATCCCTCTGTTGCCTGTTATATTCACTATAATATTATCAAGAGATAAAGAAATGAGTTATCTCAGGTATCCATAAATATTTTTCTGTTAAAGGTTCATCTCTCTGTTCATTTATCAAAAATGTCGCCTTAACGATAATGATTTTCCAAAAGGAAATTAAATTTATAATTGAATTGCGCGCTTTATAGCGCACTTGCGGGACATTAATTTATAGAAAAGGCCATTTATTTTAACAATTTGGAAAGGAATGATAGTCATTTTCCCAAGTGGGTGTAATCTTTCTTATCAATAGGGTTGATTAACCTTAAAATTCTAAAAGACAACTTTTTGCCTTGAATTTCATATTATAATAAGTGTAAGTTGAACACGAGTTTTATTAGAAGACTGATCCCTCTAGAACTATCCCAGCTAAGTTTTGAGAAAAAAAAAAGATTCAATTTTTTTGTGAGATTTGTCTTTCAAAATGTTGCTTGATAATATACTAAAATTACATATTATTTGCATGCACGACACCAAAAAAATATTAAAATCATTTCTAAGATGGGAAAAATAGATAAATAAACTTCATTAAAACTTACGGCTATCACATCTTTTTGGTTGTAATCCAACAGCTGAACAGCCTTGAATACAATCGCCATGAATATGGTTACAGCCTGCTGCACAATTATGGTTGCATTGTTCTAGACATTTTCCACCATAAAATCCCTCAGGACATGCTTGAAATTTAACGAAAAGACATTTAGCAGAGAAATATAACAATGTCATACATTCATTATTCACGTCCTTCCATGATCTCGGATATATAATGGATGCAGTACCGACCAGGCACACACATAAATAGACTCTAACCAAACCCAGGATTCACTTACGCTACACGGGTTCGCTTTGGGTCTTCTAGCAGACAAATATTATATATATCTATTTGTATATACTACACTCGCTCATCGGGTCAACTCGACGCCATATTCCGGTAAAATTATAAACGTCCTATATACATCTTTTAAATGTATATCATTCTGATCTTTACTGAACAGCAAATAACCATGTCAATAACTGTTTTGGATTACACAAGAAGTATGGTTTACGGGCTGTCAGAATGATGCAGGGTCCAATCATCACAGATTGGTGAATAATTTTCAGTTGTTGTTGTTGTTTTTTTTTCTAATTCATATTAGAAGCTGTAATGATAAATCAATAACAATAGAGTAACAATAAATCAGTAACAATAAATCACTTCCAACAAAAACGCATTTCTAATCAAAAAATACAAATAATTAAGCAATAAAAGTATTTTAATACTTGAAAATGAAACAAGCTATAATCAGCATATCAGTGAAAAAAATCTTTAAGACTACATTTTGTAATAAAAGGGTGCTTTTAATATTATGGATAAAAGTTAAGGGCAATGACAAAACCTCAGCTTACGCTTCTGAGTAAAAAAGAGACATCTAATTTGGACGTAAAAAAACCTGGTACTAAAATTCATTCCCCTAACTGAATGTTCCTGCCTTACTTTCAAATGTACATGTAAAACTACCATTTTAAACAAAGGTGTAGATTTGAATATATTTCATTTCATATGTTTTTAGTTGTAATGAATAAATTGCGTTTTGGGTAAAGTGGATAAGTTTATATGTTAAGTCTTGCTTAATGTATGTTTAACTTACGACTATCACATTGAGACCCTGTCCATCCATTTTTACAGCCACCATCACACTCTCCATTACGACTACAAGTGATGTTGACACAATTTCCACCACAAGAATCAGAACATTTCTGGCCAAACTTTCCAGATTCGCACTCTAGTAAGAAAAATAATAGAAAGTAAAACACTGAAACAACTATCTAGACTTACAACGTATATAAAAAATCAAGCTTTAGCTAATTGGTAGACATATATATAACAAAAAATCACTACAATTATAAAACTGAGGTTTACCTTCACACATTGTTCCCTTGAAACCTGGTTTACAGGATAGGCAATGTCCATTTGTTTGTTCACATACTTTACCAAAGCAAGTGATGCTACAGTTTTTCATGCAGTTTTGACCAAAGAATCCTGTCTTACAATTATTACAAATGCTGTCATCTCGATCACAACTACTATTACATCTTTCACAAGAATATTCACAGAATTTGCCATATCGATTGTTCATACATGAATCGCATCTCCCAGTAAACCGATCACATATTTTGTTTTCACAAAACACTGAGCATGTTTTGCTGCAGGTTTCACCATAGGTAAAGGGCCTACACACTGTGTGAAAAGAGAAAAAAAGTAACTTACAGACTTACTGTTCTCGAATATTTAGGGGTCTTTTTACCTTCTAAAAATTTAATATATTTTATTTCAATCTCACGGGACACAAATTTAATTTAAAAAAGAACCAAAGTAGCTTAAAATATATATTTAAAAAAATGAAATAAATATATATATATGTGTAACCCTGACCTACGCCATTGCAAAAATAATCAAGGGCACAGCTAACGTAATATTCAAAATAATATGACGGACAAACATAGATCTTTGCCTTTTTACGAATCGTGTTCAGCTTTCACGATAAGCATAAAGAAATAAGAGGGCTATTACTAACATAAGGAGTCATCGAATCATTTCACACTAAAAAAAAATTGTAGTTCTTCCTTGAATAAACAAAGACATTGATGAAGGTTTGGTGTATTCACTGCTTACGGTTTTAGGGAAGTAGCGATAACAAGGCTAATGTGAAAGTGGCAATAACTAACATAGGGGTCAGACTTGAGGTTCAAAAAAAGAAATATAAAAATTGGTTTCAAAATGACATTGTAATGATGCGATAATATAAAAGATATTAGATATATGTTGTAAGAAAAAAGAAATAGAAAAATAATTAAATTTCTCATATTTTGAATGACCTTAACCTTTGAATTTAACTAAAATTTAAAGGACAAGGTTGTAGATTCCAAAGCAGTAAATCCCATGTCCTAATGATAAATCCTTTGAAAAGGTTTTGATTTAATTAAAATTCTGATAACTTTCATACGCAATAACTAATTAAAAGTTCCTATTGATCCTTTCGCACTATAAAGATCGAGAGTGTACAAAATAAGTCGAAGAAATTCGAGAAGGTTTGATTTTTCTCCATTATGTGGCTTATAATAAGAAGGAGCAATGTTAACATGCATTTATAGGGATAGGGGTAATAACTCCTTGAAGGCAGTTCAGATACGTAGGGTCAACTGCGAATACATTTTTTAGAAATACATTCTCATGAACTATAAATCTTTATATATATATATATATATATATATATATATATATATATATATATATATATATATATATATATATATATATTATATATATATATATATATATATATTGAAACTAAAAAAGAAAAAAAAACACGCGGCGGAAAATAATAATAAGCATGAACATTTAAATAAGTCCTTGCACAGATAGGTGAAAAAACCTAATAATGGAACTGATGGTTTTGTGGGGATGATTTAGAGTTCTTAGAAAATAGACACATCGTCATACTTTTAAGTGAGACACAATAAAAAAAAACCCAAATCAAATCAACAAACAAACTAACGATTAAAAAACAGAGGCAACATATTTTGAAGTGTGAGTTGTTACATGATTGGTCAAATCAGATTTTTTTTATAATAATATTACTTACTTTCATTACAATGTTCACCTCTCCAGCCTTCTGTACATCCATGTATGCATACGCCAGTGAAATTGTTGCACAATTGTCCGGATTCACTGCTTAATGATTTACAATTGACACTGCATGGGATACAATTATCTCCATAATTGCCAACAGGACACTCTAGAATTCAAGAAATATCAGAGAAACTGAACAGCCTTTCACCTTTAAAGTATCTTTACATATGAAACACAAAAGAGAAGTTGCGATATAGGATAAATTGAAGTGAGGAAATCTGAACCTTATGAGGGCCTAAAAATACCTCTAAAAATAAGTCGCCAGTTGGTTTCTGACCAGAAGTGTCAATTGATTGTTTTTTAGACATCAACTATATAAACTTTTCAAAAAAAAATATTTGGCTGTTGCTAAATCAATTTAAAATGATCAGTAATTTTGTAACATATTGAGATAGAACCCACCAATTAGAAATGTTCGACATCAGTCCCAAAGTTAGAGTCCTGTGTTGCTTTTAACTAAACGTTATCCAACAAACAAACAAGAATATTACATACCATTACAGAATATGCCTGTCCATTTGTTTTTACAAGATGAACAGGCACCCGTTTGTTGATCGCATGTCCCATCCATACAATTAGGACTGCATTTAGATGCACAGTATGCTCCAAAATAACCGCTTTTGCATTCTGTACATAAACAAACAAAATATGCTTAGGTTGAGAATTCACAACATTTTTGCTTAAGAATCGAATTCTGGACTATAAACTAAGCTTCCTCAAATAGTCTATTTATTAATTTCAAGGTATCAGAGTACAGTTAAGGCGAATTTGATGAATAACTTATTGTTTATTAACGCAAGGTTAAGGTGAATTAAATGACACATCATGTATATTTGATCAATTGTATGATCAATGTCAATGCCTACGTCTACGTCTAAGTGTTAGAAAGGTCCCATCACATTCACACCGACACATGGTGGGCTTGAAAGGTTCCCTACATTATCTATTTGGTTGTTGCAACCATAAGGAAAGACTGTACATAGCCTCCTAATCAAGTATTCTTCTCGTAACGCTGTCTATGGAAAGTAGAACTTGAGTGGGACTATTAGTTGGAAGATTTTTTTTTTCGAAATTCTAACTCTTATTAAAATGAAATTGTTTACAAAGATGACTTCAAACGAGTGCCCCGACATTTTATAATTGCAAGATCTCAAAGTCTTTTTAAGATATCATTCGGGGAAAAAGGTTATAAAGGCAGAATAAATTAATTATGATCTTGACCTCTGACTTCCTTTGGGCTATACGGATCTGCAATATTAAAGTTATCACCTGGAAAGTGTTAGATGCAATGTGATAATTTATGTCCTTTGACCTCAAACATTTAGGTTCAAAATCAAGAGGAGTTTTAAGACAATAAGAAATTAATATGAGATTTAACAGAAAAATCTTTAAGATTTAAAAGAAATCGCCCGAAAACGAAATTATAACAAACAAACAATGTATTGTTTTAACTATAACCCACCAAAATGGTTCTTGATTTTTCAAGCTTATTTAGAAGATATAGATTTACAAACTCTACTTCAATCCAAATGCTGTATAGATATTTTAAACATTTATATACCAAAATTTTATATGGATATTTTAAATTGTTGGAAGGAATTTAGAACTAATGATAATGTTTGTATTGAACCTAAAATATTTAAGGAAATTTTATGGTTTAATGATAAAATAAAGATAAACAATTTATCCATCTTCTGGGAAAAATGGTACAAATGTGGGATACTTTTTGTAAGTGACATTATTGGTGAAAACAAAGACTTTTTAAGTCATGAAGATATTGTCAAGCGCTATGGAATAAATGTTTCTTTCCTAGATTATATGTCTTTACGAATGGCAATACCACACAAATGGAGAAAATTAGTAAGAGAAAAGCAAAAACCTGATTTTAATAGAAATACATTAACTCTTTCTATAGATGAGAAGATATGTCCTATTTCAAAAATGCAATGCAAAGACTATTACTGGACTATGATAGAACACTTGATTGAGCAACCAACTTGTATCAGAAAATGGGAAACAACATTTGATAGGAGTATTACAGAATCAGATATGAAGAATATCTTTACCATTTCCTTTTCATGCAATAGTGAAACTTATTTGCAATCTTTTAATTATAAATTAATTCATAGATTTATAGCACATGGAAAACTATTATATAACATGGGTGTAAACAAATCACCATTATGCAAATCATGTAAGGAAATTGATACAATAGAACATAGGTTTTATTTTTGTGAAAATACTAAAGCATTTTGGAATGACTTTTTAAACTCGTGGAATAGTTTGAATTTATGTTTTATCCAAGATATTTCATGTCAAAATGTGATATTTGGAATTTGTACAAGTACTTATAACAAACCTCTGAATTACTGTTTAATGCTAGCAAAATACTATGTTTATAAGACTAGAAATGCACAAGAGAGTTGTGAATGTAATTTGAATTTTACTGTTTTTAGAAAAATGTTAAGGGAAAAACTATATATCAAAAAATTTCTATATTGTAGTAAGAGAAAATTAGAAGATTTTTACAATGAATGGCAAAAATTATTTGAGAATTTGGAAAACTGATTTAAAGTATTTTTATACATGATCAAGCCCAAAAACATATTCAATTATTAAACTTTTTTATTATATAAGATAATTTTAAGTAATAATTATTATATTTTCTTTCTGCAATGTTACATGTTTGTATTTTATCTTAATTTGTAGAATGTAAGAGCCAATTAAAAAAAAAACAAAAACAAAAAAAAAAAAAAAAAAAAAAAACAAACAAACAAACAATATTAGTGAATCTATGACCTTTACCTTTGATCTTTTGACCTGGGAATCGATAGGTGTCTTTTTCAGGCCATAGGAAGTTGTGGTATAAAATTTCATTGTAAAAACTTAAAAGCTCCTTGAGATACTCTCCGGAAACGAAGTTGTTGCACACAAACAGAATTTCGAATTCATGAACTTGACCTTTTGACCTCAAAATTGATTGGTGTTTCCTTTTGCTTTTGGTATGATATTTCATTGCAAAATCTTAAAGGCTTCTCGAAATATTGTCCGAAAGTTGTATACCCAATCAAAATGTATGAATTTATGAGCTTG